TGAGGTCATGACCAAAATCAAGAGTCAGATGGTCAACCAGCTGAGCCATCCAGGTGCCCCAAGACCTTAAGTTTAAATAGTTGAATCCTCTGGACGCCTGGTTGGCTCATTTGGTTGAGCGTCCAACTTCAGCTCAGGTCATGATCTCGAGGTTCATGAGTTTGAGCCTGCTTTGGATTCTGTGTCTCTGTCTCTCTCTGCCCCTCTCCACTCATGCTCTGTCTCTGTCTCTGTCTCTCTCTCCCTCAAAAATAAATAAAACACTTATAAAAAAGTTGAATTTTCTTACAAACTTGAAGGACAGAGCTCTACGAAGGCAGAGACCAAGTCTGCCCCATTCTGATGTGTGTTCATCGTGCCTCACGTATACAGCTCCAGTGACCCGTGTGGAAAGGGGACCATGGAGAGGGCTGGGCTATTGGCCAAGATCTGAGACTAAAGATGGGTCTCAAGCTTGACCAGTAGGTGACATTCTGTGTGTCCTAGGTGTGTGCTGTGCTGTCAGAGCACTGGTATCCAGAGGGAGCACAAGGGTTGCAAACCTCCAAGGCGCTCTGTGAACAGGAGCCTCAAGCCTTTACACACTTTCTGACCCATTTCTGTTTTCATGCCCATTTGCAAAGGTAGGGGCCCACAAGTTGCAGGCGATGCCATTAGAAATTCAGTCTCCTGTCTGCAAGTGTGTTAATTCACATAGTCCGAGTGGATTTATTGAGTGGTTAGTAGGCACCAGATGTTGAAAACGGGTGAGATGGTGTCTTAGTGACTCCATAGCCTGAACCGTGGTCTGGAGTGTGGCGGGGAAATGCTCACCCAAGGATGGAGGGACAAAAGGGTCTGGGAGACGTGGTCCGAAGAAGAGAGGAGAGGAGGCTGAGGCGGAAGCTTCTGCTCCATTTTACTGAGACTTCTGGGCTGCACCTCAGCCAAGAGTTCACACAGAAGTACCCCCTGGATTCCCCACACGGCGACTCTCAGGTAGCCTTCTGCTGGCACCAGCCCCAGCCATAGTAGAGGAGAGTGGATGGCCTGGGCCTGGGTACGTTATCGACTCTTCCTTCAACAAGCATAGCCTCCTCTTGATTCCCACTCAAGCCTTGGGTGCTGGATGTAGAAAATTGCATGGCCAGGGAACAGAGTCTCAGATTGTCAGGGCTGTTGGCGCGTTCTGCGGTTTTCCTCAGGCTTCTTCCAGGTGTTCTTGGTCAGGCCTCTTGCCTCCATCCATCACTCCAATGCCTTCCTCCTCACACCCCCTCTCTCATGCCCAGACCCAGGCTGAGATGTGCACCACGCGCACATCTGCAGGCAATGAGAGAATCCTGGACTCTGGGAGTTCCGGAAGCCAATACTAGAAAGGGGTAGGGAAGCTTCAGGTTTAGAGCATTCTAGGAAGTAGTGTGGAGACAACCAATGCTATACTTGTGGAAATTTCCTCTGTAAAACATTTGTCAAGTAAAAAGTTCTTTTCATCGCCTTCTTGTCAGCAGAAGAGCAACTTCTCCAGTGTTCTAGACTTCTCTGTGTCTCTATCTCTGGCTCTTTCTGTCTCCCCTCAGTTTTCCTTCTTAAACTAAAGGCTCCTGGCAGCCCCCAGATTTCCACTTCCTCTTTCTTTTACATTAAAAATAATTTTTTTAACATTGTATTTTGTTAGAGACAGAGACAGAGTGTGAGCAGAGGAGGGGCAGAGAGAGAGGGAGACACAATCTGAAGCAGGTTCCAGGCTCCGAGCTGTCAGCACAGAGCCCCATGTGGGACTCGAACCCATGAACTGTGAGATCATGACCTGAGCTGAGGTTAGACGCTCAACTGACTGAGCCACCTAGGCCCCTCCACTTTCTCTTTCAATATAATCAGTCCTCCTCAGGAGCTCAACCACTTTGACTAGTGCTGTTCTTTTTTGCTTTAGGTATTATCTGAAATGTTGCCTCCTCCAGGAATCCTTCCTAGGGCTGGGTTAGGGGCCCTGCTGTGGGTTCCCACAGCAGTTTACCTTTCCCACTAGCAAATCATTTGTCACATTGTAAAAAAATGTTGATTATTGCCTTCTGAATGGTATTTCTCCTCCTCTAGGCTCTAAGCTCTTTGAAAGAAGGTGTGGTTTCTTTTTCTTCCATTTTAGCTCCTGTGGTGAGCATAAGGAGGGATTCAATAAATGTGTGTCATAACAGGAAAATATACGTTACTTCATTTTCTTCCTAGATTTTCCAGGGGCAAAAGAGAATGAGGAGAAAATGTAGAGAACTTGCATAAGGAATGGCACCCCCTGCCCTGATATAGTTTCTTCCTAATACTTTCACCAGTATTGGGACCATTGTGTTGTGGTGAGATGTAGTTAAATCCAAGCCATCTTCAAGGTTTGAGACATCAAGTTTCTGGGAACAGGGAGTGGGTCACCCTTAAATGGTAAATAGCCATTCTGTGTCCTTATGTTAGAGAATAGCCAGGTGCACAGCAAGAACAAAAACAAGAACAAAAGAGGACTGGTGTGGTATTGTGATTTACAGTAAGAAATATGTATTTGGTCTTTATCCACTGTTCCTGGCACAGAGCTCCTAAAAGCCTTGGAATTTCCTAAGTAACAAGAGCGATCGATCGATAAAGGTCTTTTGTTAATAAATTGATCACCAATGGGCAATGATTCAACCAAACATGCCTACGTAAAGAATAAGACAGTGACAGCAACCCCCACCCCTCCAAAAATAAAATGAAAATGAAAACAAAAACAGAAAAGGAGGGTTGCAGAGACCTTCCGGGCTGGTGCTCCCCTAGCGGTGCTGGGGCGGGGGGCGTGCTCAGAGAGCCTGGATGCTCCGTGCCTGTTCACCCCGCTTTGCCTGGTGCATCTCTTCCATCTGACTGTTTCTGAATTATATCCTTTTATAATAAACCATCATCTGGTGAGCAAAATGTTTCTCTGAGTTCTCTGAGCTACTCTAGCAGATTAATCCAACCCAACAGTGGAGGTCCATCTACAGCCAGTGGGTCAGAAGTACAGATGACACCTGGGCTTGAGACTGGCCCCTGAGGTGAGCAGGGAGGGGGCTGTCTCTCTGGAGGACTGAGCCTTTAACCTGTGGATATGATGCCGTCTCCAGGCAGACAGCATCAGAATTGAGTTAGATTGTGGGGCACTCAATTGGTGCCTGAGAATTGCCTGGTGGTGTGGGAACTCCCCCCCCCTCCCCCAACCCCAAACATTAGAATTGGGTGCGGAATCTTAGTTGGTGATCAGAGGTGGGATCAGAGTTAGAATTTTTAACTGCTATTCAGTTGGTGAGAGAAAAGGCTCAGAGTTTCTGCCCTAGATGTTGAGCGCTGAGATTCCAAGAACTGCATTCTTAGAGAAATTGTTGTGTGCTGGATTTGCCATTTTTTTTTAAAGAAGTGAGTTTTGATTGTTATCAAAGTAATACATGCATATAATTTTAAAAAATAAAATATTTTGTTAAAAACCTATAACAAAAGAAAATAGCCCCTGCCTCACCTGCCCCATTCCCCAGTTCTGCTCTCTGAGGCAATGGCTTTCAAACACGTTGAGCTGTCGATAGTGTGGTTATGTTGTTATTTCTCAATTTATCTGTTTTTGACAGTGTCTGTCTGGTGACTTGTTATTGATATTGAGGGTGTGCCTCTCTTAACCACATCCCTACATACATGCCCTCCTGCCATCGTCTCAGTAGAGTTATTAGTAAAGATGAGGTTCAGTTGTATATAACAGAAAATTTGAAATAACTGTGACTTAAACAGAATTTTCTTTCCTCTAGAGTAAAAGAAACTGGGAAGCAGCGCTTCTGGAGATGGTATAGTGGTATAGTGGTTTTACAGGCACCTGGAAGGAGGCGTCACCTGGCTTCCATTTTCAAGGTCACCGTTAGAGATCCAGCTATTTATATGCCCGAGTTCTCCAGGGAGGAAGATGGAAGAAGGGGCTGTCTCCATGGATGTGCATATTCTGGACATTTAGAATCATACAATATGTGGTCCTTTGTATCTGGCTGCTTTTACTTAGGATGATCTTTCCAAAGGTCATTCATGTAGCACGTATCAGTACTTCATTCCTTTCTGTTACTAAATAACATTCCATTGTACAGATACACTACATTTTATTTCTCTCTTAATCAGCTGATGGGCATTTGGACTGTTTTCACTCTTTGGGGATTATGAACAATGCTGCTATTAGCATTTGCATACAAGTTTTTGCGTGGACATAGTTTTAATTTCTCTTGGGCATATACCTAGAGGTGGAATTTCTGGGTGCTGTGGTAACGCTATGTTACACATTTTGAAGGACTGTCAGATTTTTTGGAAAGCAGCTGCACCATTTTACACTCCATCAGCAGTGTGTGAGGGTTCCAGTTTCTCTGTATTCTTGCCAACACTTGTTTTTGTCTATCTTTTTAATTCTAGCCATCCTAGTGGATGTGATGTGGGATCTCATTGTAGTTTTGATTTGTGTTTCTCTAACGAGTAATGATACTGAGCGTTTTTATTTTTAATGTGTTTTTAATGTTTATTTTGTAATTATTGTTCTATTTTAATTCCAGTGTCGTTAACACACAATGTTGTGTTAGTTTCAGGTGTACAATATAGTGATCCAACAGTTCTTTACATCACCAGTGGATGTTGAGCATTTTTGTTTATTTGGCCATTTGTACATCCTCTTTGGAGAAATGTCTATTTTAATCTTTTTCTCATTAAAAAAATTTTTTTTAATGTTTATTTATTTATGCGAGAGACAGAGACAGAGTGTGAGCAGGGAGAAAGGGAGACAGAATCCGGAGCAGGCTCCAGGCTCTGAGCTGTCAGCACAGAGCCTGACATGGGGCCCGAACCCACCAACCATGAGATCGTGACCTGAGCCAAAGTCGGACACCCAACCAACTGAGCCACCCAGGCGCCCCAGTCTTTTTCTCGTTTTTAAATTGGGTTATCTTTTTATTGTGGAGTTGTAAAAGTTCTTCTTATATTCTATATACAAGTCTCTAATCAAATACACAATTTGCACACGTTTCTCCCATTCAGTGGTTATCTTTTTACTTTCTTACTGGTATCTTTTGAAGCACGTTTTTCATTTTTATAATGTCTAGCTTATCTATTTTTTTCCTTCACTATTTGTGTTTTTGGTGCCCTGTGTTGATTTGCCACAGAGTTTTGAGTGTTGAGATTTTGTTTTCGGTGGTTGCTCTAGGAATTATGATATCCATCTTTAACTTTTAGCCATCTGCTTCCAATTGATTCTGACTTAATTCTGCTAAAATATAGCAACTCTGCTTGAACATAGCCCCACCTCTCCCCTTTGTGCTATCATTGTCATATACGCTATGTACTTGTAAACCCAAGAGCACAGCTGTTTTTTTTGGTTAGATGAAATGGCAAATTTAAGTTCAGGTCAACAGTAACATGAAGGGGTGGGAGATGGGCGAAGAGTTACTATGTGCAAATTGTGGTGAGGTTTTTTTTTCCAAGTCCAGGAGTAGCATAGAAATATCAAGTAACTTTCAATATTTATGGGGAAAAAATTGGGTGGCGTTGACAGTAATGTTAAAAGTATGGGAAGGCAAGTAGAGTGTACAGGCCAGTAGAGGGATACAGAAAGGGAAAATATAGAAAACCTTGTCAATTCATCAGTCTGGAATAGAGGAAAAAGTAGAGAAAGGATACTAAAGAGAAAATATGTAATATAGCAGTAGAAGCAAGTAAAAATGAATCAACAAGTACAATAAATTTAAATGTATTAAAATTGTCTTATTAAAGATAGATAATGAGTTGGGTCTTCAAAGTGTAACTATACTTAAAACAGATACATCTACAACACTACCACTAGAAAAGCTGAAAATAGAAAAATGGGGAAAGATATAGCAAGCAAATACTAAGTAAAAGAAAGCTTTATAAAGTCAGAAAAAAATTCAAAAATAGAAGCCTCACTGGTAATAAAGAAGAATACTCAATTACTTAAGTACAAAATGTGAAAC